CGCCGCTGCCGCCATCGCCGCCCCACGTCAGGCAGGCAACCCGCCCCCCGTCACCCGCCACCTCCCCAGGCCAAGCCTCCCTGGCTGCGGGCACGCGGCCTCCTTGGCGGACGACGCTGTCCATCTCCCGCTGGCGCGTAGAGCCATACCGCCGCCGCACCTGCCCATGTTGCAGACCGACCCACGCGGCACGACAGAGAGGACAAGCACGGCGAGCTGATGCTGCGGGTCGCGCTTCCGATTCACGCGACCAGGGCTGGGCGTAGGCTGATAAGGGACGTGCTGCGGAACGGGGAAGCCGGGCAGAGGCGAGCTCGGGATCGGGAATCGAGGCGCCAGAGCGTGGCGCTGAGCCGAACTGAGTCGGGATGGATCAGAGGGGAGAGGAAACGCTGCGAATCACGATGGATCAGGAATCAACGAAGGATCGACGGCGTCGAGCAGCCGCATCTGCGCTCGGGACTGCGGACGACGGCAAGGCGAAAGAAGAGACAGACGAGACGTCAGCGATACCGCGCCGCGCCGATCCGACGCGTCGACACCACCCTCGCGCGAGCTCGCTCACCAGAAACCTTGCGGTGTTGCGGGCCCCTCAGCCAGGCCTCGAGGCGACGCACGCCGCTATCCTAGGTCGATCTCCCTAGGCCGTCTTCGCCTCGCCCTGTCGCGCCAGCAGTCGGTCGATCAGTCGCAACGGGGAGGCAAGAGGCAAAGGCAGAAGGGTCAGCGCATCGCCGACTCTTCTCTGCGAGATGCGAGGCAGGCGGCTCGAGGCTCCAACCACGGCCAGCCGGTCCTCACCTTGTCGTCGACTGCGGCGCCGGGTCCAGGGCCATCGCCGTCACCGCGGTTGCCACGTCCTCCGCCCCACCACCAAACGCGCCAGCAGTAGCCGTTGCGGCATCGGCAGAAGCAGGGTCCCCAGGCGTCGCAGCGGCACAGAGAGTTGCCGCCCCAGTCCTGACGCTTCTCGAGCGCGTCGCCGACTTCGCGCTTGTGGTCCCAGCGGTCGTGGTCGTGGTCGTGGTGGTCGTGGTCGTGGTGGTCGTGGTCGTGGTGGTCGTGGTCGTGGTGGTCGCGGTCGTGGTGCGAGCCGTCGCCGTAGAAGTCCCTGGCGGCGAGGCTCTCGACGTCGCGACGGTGATCGTGGTCCCTGTCGTGGTCCCTGTCCCTGTCCCTGTCGCGGTCGCGGTCGCGGTCGCGGTCGCGGTCGTCCCAGGTCCACGGGCAGTCGCAGTGACGGTCCCACTCATTGCACCAGTAGGCGCGCCAGCGGTTCCAGCGGTGGTCGTAGCACCACTTCCAGTAGATGGGCTGAGAGTCGGCGGCCGGCTGGGCAGCGTTGGCGATGGCGTCGGCGCCGGCGCGGGGCTCGACGATGGCCGCACCGCCAGAGATGTCGGGCGAGGTGGTGAGAGGGGTGGCTGCCACGCCAATGAAGCCTACAGTCGCCAGCACGGCGCCGACGAGAGAGACCTGGACCAGACGCATGGTGACAGACGCTCGGAGCGTTGATCAACGGGGCTCGAGCGAGGGGGTGGCTGGCTGGCTTGGGGGGCTGATGCGAGAGGGCGGTCGAACGAGGACGGGGCTGCTGTGGCTGAAGTGGCTGAGGTAGGAGCCAGAGGCGCAGGGTGGGGTGGGGCGGGGCGAGAGAAAGGGAGGGGAAGAGGCGATGGGCGAGGGAGGGAAGAGGAGGGAAAGGGGGGCGACCGGCCAGGCACGGTATATATCCCTTCGGGCCCTCACAGCGGCCGGCGCAGCGAGCCCTCGTACGTGGCGCTTGCGCCAGGTGCCGCCCCTCTGGCCAGGTGCCTGTCGACGGGGACGACGACGAGAGAGAGAGCCGTCTCGCTCGATGCTGACCTGGCGGACGAGGAGGGGCAGGCAGGCAGGCCAGATCAGGCGACCCTTCTTGGCAGGCTGACGTCCGCTCGACGCGCCTGCTGCCTCGCCCCGGTCGTTCGAGCGACGACACGCTGAGCCTCAGCTCGCCCGCCTGACTGCCTGCCTCGATCGATCCGTGCTTGGACGGCCTGCTTGGAGGTCTGACGGCGCCTCGCAGCGCACCCGCTGCGGCGAGCTTGAGCACAGACCATCAGCGCAGGTCAGGCGGTCAAGCTGGGCGGACGGGTCCCACCAGCACGCACGGCGCGCTCGGAAGGACCCATGATCGTGGACAGTCAGCACCGCCTTGCCTGTGCAGCCCAGCGCGCGTGCTTCCTGCCTGCCGGTCTGCATGCCTGCCGATCCACGGACAAGGAGCCCGGAAGGACGCGCCGAGACTGAGCAGCAACGAGCGCGCTGCGCCGCAGCGGATCAAGTTGGCTGGCAGCCACGGCGCGGCGAGGTGGAGGACCCTCAGCGCCGGCCCGGGCTGGGCTGCGGTCGGGCAGCCCTCAGCTCCAGCAGCTTGCTCCACCCTCCTGCCTGATCCGCCGGCCTGGCTGTGCTGCGGAGACGCGGCGAGCTCGACGAACGGGCGGGCGAGCGAGCGAGGAAAAGAAGGCAGGTGAGTCAGCCACGGCATGCTCGCGCGCACGCCTGCGCGGAAAAACTCGACGAGCTGTCAGGCAGGCAGGCTAGGCTGAGGTGCCCGTGCGAGCCCGCCGTGCGAGCCCGCAATGCACACGACAGACAGACAGCCAAGCAGGGAGGCGGGGTCGGTGCGGCAGGCAGGCAGGCAAGCAGGCCAGGCTGGGCCAGGTTGCTGCGGTACCCGATCGAGAAGCGCAGCCGCAGCCGCAGCAGCAGCCGCGGCCAGGCAGGGGAGCAGACGGGAGGACTCGTTCTCGGTCGAGAAGACGGTGGTCAAGCGTGCCAGGCCGGCGAGGGCAAGAGAGAGAGAGCAGCAGAGCAACAGCGGCGGCAGCTTGGCTGGAGCCACCCAGGTGAAACTGGCGTGATGCTCCCTCGCTCCCGATGTCAAACTCGGCCTCGACCCCGTCCCGATCGGCCTGGGCCGTGTCGACACGCACGACGTCGTCGAGGGCAAGGCCCGAATCTGCCTCCCTTCGATTCCTGCGTCTCTTGCCGGCTGGTGACCATGTCGCCGCCATCGCGGCCGTTGACGCAACGGAGCGGCGACACCGCTCTCTTCCGCGCAGATTGACGACGGCCGACATCTCTGTCGAATGAGCACCCGGCTTAGAAGGGACCGCGGACGGCTTCCTGACGACATCTTCACCACGCGTCGTGAGGAGACAGGAGCAAGTGTGATTGCCTACGTCGACGACGTCACGGGATTGGCGAGAGGCCGAACAGAGGACGTGGGCGTGGCACGCGTCAACGATTCGGCCAATGAGATCCGCCACGCGCAACGGGATCGGCCTCGACATGCTTGCGTTCCTTCGATGCTCGCCTCGCGGCCAGTCCGTACGGTCCGCCCAGCTGACCCCGTAATGATCCTGGGAGTGACCCTGGATAGTCAGCTCAGGTGCGATCAGCACGCCGACGAGCTCATTGACAGAGCGTCGGCGTGCCTGGGCAAACTGCGCCACGTCGCCGAGATCTGCGGCACCACCTCCCATCCGCCGCTCCGCCTGAAACTGGTCACGACTCTCATCTGGCCGACGCTCGAACGTCCCTCAGCATGTTGGCGTACACTCTGTGTTCGGGTCTCCCGTCGTCCAGCCGATGCTTCTAACCGTGACATATCTCGTTACGCAGTTTGACGGCATAGAAGGGAAACGCATCGAAGATAGAGTACAGAAAACAGCTCTTGTGGAAAGCAGCGGCGTGAAGCGGGTTTGAACCAGGCGTGACGGCGAGTCGTGAAGACGTAAGGGGCGGAGACGATGGAAACGAGCCAGGCAGAGCCAGGCCAAGGGGAAAATCTGGACGCGTGAAGGCGGGTATCGAACGGTAAACGCGGCGCGGCGCCGACGCCTCAGCACCGGTAGAGGAAGCGCGGGTGGCGCGAACCAAGCTCGTCGATCTGCTCCTGCGTCATTCCCTCAATCTCGTGGTCGCGCTTGCCCGACTGGCCGCGGGCGTTCATGTAGCGCTGCCACGCCACGAGGCCGAGCGAGGCGACCGTGATATAAAGCGCGCCGGCCAGGTTGACCGCGTTTCCGGGCACCTGGTTGGGCGCATGCTTGGGAAGGTAGGTCCAGGTGGCGGCCAATCCCCCGAAATTGCCAAGAAGCACGACAATACCGATGGCTCCGGCACGCTCCGAGTCGTTGTTGGTGTTGATCGTGGCCCAGGCGGGCACCACGGCGCCGTGGGCGTAACAGCCGACCGTGGCGAGGAACGAGGCGGCGTAGCGCGTGTTGGTCTGCGACGAGGCGAGGTACATGACGTAGCCCGCCGCGGTGAAGAGGCTGGTAAAGGCAATGACGAGGCCGCGCACCTTGAACTTGGTCGAGCAGTAGGCCACCACCAGCACGCACACGCCGCCGAACACGTTGGGCGGCACCGTGAGCAGCTGCTGCTGGATCACCGTCTTGCCTGGGAAGAGGGTCCTGACGATCGAGGGAAGGAAAAAGGCGATGCCTGCGATGCCGGAGGGGAGCGGGGGTCGAAGGGGGATGAACGGAAGAGAGACGATACTTGGTCGTCAGTGCACTGCGCGCCAGACCAGCTCGCACAAAGTTTAACTCACCCTGGACGGTAACGTTGTCAAAGAAGAACATGGTGGCGCACACGAGCGAGGTGGGTGCGGTTATGCCGCGGATGACGGAGCGCAGACGGGCCTTGTCGATGAGCGTCTTCTGCCCGACCTGCTCCGAGAGCATGCGCGCGCGCGCCAGCTCCTTTTCCTCTTCGCTCAGCCAGCGCGCCGAGTCGATGCTGTTGGTGATGGTGAACCACGCGAAGATCGAGATGGCGACGGTGATCAAGCCCTCGATGAAGAAGATCTTCTCCCAGCGCTCGATGCCGGCAAAGTCGCCGATGCGCAGGATGCCCGAGGCGAGCAGGCCGCCGAACGCGCCCGCGCCGGGGGACATGACGATGTACATGGCGCAGCGGAAGGCCAGCTCATCCTTGCGGTACCACCGTGCGAGGTAGAAGGCGATTGAGGGGAGCATTCCCGCCTCTGCGATTCCGAGAACGAAACGGACGCCAACGGCCTCGTTGAAGTTGGTGACGAAGGCGTTGCAGATGCTCAGCAGGCCAAAGAGGAATGTGATGAAGGGGATCCAGCGACCCGGTCCGACGAACTTCGTCATCATCGTCGAAGGGATCTCTGCTACCACATAGGCGATATAGAATGACGTTAATAGAATGTTGTACTGTCGATATGGTCCGTTTGATATCCAGGAGATATGATGAGAAGGAGGTCGAGGAGGATCGAGGTGGTCGACGAGGTGGCGCCCGGGCGAGGGGCGAAATTCGCAGCGAGACGCGTCAATATTTTTCAGCCACCGGGGCTCGAGTGGAGGTGCCGCCGGCGTCGTCGAGGACCTCCGCTGGCTCGCTATCCTCTCTGCTCTGCTCACCTGGTAGCTCTTGGGGTTCATCCCGAGGTCCTTCTCCAGCCCTGCAATCCTCGCATTTCCGATATTGGCGCGATCTGTTGGGACGCAGGTAAGAGGGAAGAGGAAACGTCGGTTAGCCGGTGTCTTTCGACGACGGAGAGAGGTAGAAGGGCCAATATGACGCCCCTACAAAGCAAAATAAATAGCACAAAGCTACTGGGAAGATAATCCTTCTGTCGATCTTGCGCCGGAGACGAGTCTCGGCCTCCTCGTCATAGTGGAAGTCGGTGAGGCCATCGGATTTGGTCTGGGCGGCGCCGAGTGTGGGGAGGGCGGTGGCGTCGGTGATGCTATTCTTTTCTTCGAGGGACTCGACGTCCCGTGGGGGAGTGGCGATTTGTTGCGACATGATGCTCTGAAGACGGCAGCGATGAAGGTGAGGTGGTGAGGAGGTCGAGGGCACCGGCGGTGTGAAGGCTAGGAAGGGTGTCGACTAGAGCTTAAAATCGGGCTCCGGGGCCGATATGCGACGGCGATGAGACGGGAAATCGAGTCGTGCAAGAGGGATCAGAAAGCTGGTGGTCGAGAGGAGAGGAGTCAAGAGGTGCGACGGAGGCGAGAAGGAAGGTCGATGGCGGCAAAGGTGAGCTCTTTATAGGGACCGCCACGGACTGACGGGAAGGCGGGCGAGAAGAAGGGTTCGCCTGCAGATTGACCGGCTTCATTTCGGGGCTCGAGTCAGGGAACTCGAGGATGCAGTTGACCGGCGGCGTGGGGGAGTGGGACAAGGGCGAGGGACGAGGCTGACGGGCAGGGGTCAGACGGGCAGACGGGCAGTCAGGCAGGCAGACAGGACAAAAAAGGTGGCGGCGGGGACTCTCACTCTTCTGGTGGCACAAAGCGGGCAAACGGTGCGAAGCGGGTTTGGACTTGCAGGCAGGCAGGCCAGCAGGCAGGCCTGGTCGAGGTGCATGGCAAAGCCGCCCACCTCAACAGCAGGAGTAGACGCCGCACTGGACGAGGCAGAGGCCGCATCCGACGCCCCGCTCTCCCGCCCTCGCGATCAGAGCGAGAGGATATCACGGAAGCTGATCCGAACGACCTCGTCTCGTCTGGATCCTCTACAGCGGATGGGCGAGCGGAGTCGAGGAGTGAAGGCGGATAGGATCATCCGCTCGTCGAGAGCAGAGCAAGCGGACGAGGCAGGGCAAGGCAAGGCAGCCAGGCAGGCAAGCAAGGGACCGAGGACGACGAGGAAAAAACCCGTGCGTCCTCGCCGCCCGCTGCTTGACCTCCCTCGGGCGCCTGGGCAGTGTGTCTCTGTACCCGCCCGCCAGGGCGTGTGGCTGCCACGAGGCAGAGGAACGACTGGCCCCGTGCCCGCCCCCCGCACCTGCACTGGCCTGCACCTGCTGGACCTGCTTCCTCTGGCAAAGTGCCCCGAGGTCCTAAATTTGGCAGAGGTCCGGAGGGCCCAATTTGATGCGCCAAGACCCAGCTCCGATGCAACCTGGCCTCGGCTAGCAGGGCGACGTGCATCGCCAAGCAAGCAGCACCTGGGCAGAGGCAGGCTAGGCTAGGCAGCTCAGCTCGGCCTGGACCTCGAACTTGTTCCTCGCCCCGCTCCCCGCTTTCCCCGCCCCCTTTGCCCTCGACGACGAGCCCGTCTGCTGCCGCTGCCGCTGCCGCCGTCGCTGCCTCGCCACCGTCCGGCCATCGTCCTGCTTGGCAAAGCAGCCAATTCAGCCAGCAAGCCAGGGCAATCAGGCAGACTTGCAGCACAATGGGCCGCGGGTCAATGCCAGAGAGCGGACGCCGAGGCGGGGGCGGCCAGCGGTTTCCGCAACCGCCTCTCCTCTCTCACACACGCCCCAGACAGCGCCCGCCGTCTTCGCATCAGCTTCGAATGCTCCTCATTCACCGGCCAGAGCGGCTCTCGCTTTCCGCACCTCTCTCCCTTTCCCCGCCTTTGGAGTCTGGGGCCCCATCCGTATCGCAGGTCGCAGCGCCATCCGCCCCCCGTTCTCCGTGCGATACAGCGCCATGCACCGACAACGAGGCGGCCGTGACTTCCATGTGCCGTCACTCTTCCTCCCCTCATCGTCCCGCGGCCAGAGGCAGCGGACCTCGTCGCGCATTTGCCTTCCTACCGGCGGCTACGGACCGCTCTAGCGTGTACCGGTATCCAGCCTCCCGTGTAGCGAGGGTGCAGGTGCGTTGGTTCAGGCACCATCTCACAAACCCCCGTAGAGAGGCAAGGACGGTGCACGCCCTTTCTCTCACTGCCAGTCAGGACCTCTGGCATGCCACCGTTCGCCCACGCAATGGGGGCAGGACGGGTCTGCGCACATGTCCACAGGCGATCGGTACGAGCTCGCTCATCGTCGCTGACGTACCGGCACAGCACCCGCCTCGCAACCGGCGACCCGATCCTGGGGGAGGGGCGCGCCGACGTGATCTCTGAAGACCATATGTGGCCAGGCCCAAGACGACGCGGCTTCGCGCCTCCGCACCGAGGCGTGAAAGGCGATCGAGCAGAGATGCACGACGAGGATCCACAGCGGGGTGCAGAAGAGCGCATCAGAATATCGCGGATCTCTCTGCCCTCTGAGTTCATGGCGGCCCAGCGGACAGTCAGCCTGGTCAGGCAGGCCACGTTGACCGTCTTCCTGGCAGGCGCGGACGTACAGTTTCTTGCTCAGACGGCGACGGCGGCGGCAGTACAGCGAGCTCGGGATACCACCCGCACCGCGCCGTGCTGTTCCTCTGCCTCGTGCGCGTCGTACACACTTCATGGCAGGTGAGCAACTCAGCCTTTCGGCATCTCTCTTCCGGTGCAGAAGAACGGCGCATGCTGTTACGACGACGTCGGGGCGGGGGCGGCGGTCGGTAGACGAGATGGCAAATCGCCGCGCGTCGAGGAGCAGCTGGTGCTGGTGCTGCACCGCCCCGTCCTCGCGCCGCTCTGGATGCGGGGCCCCGTACGACCTTTCCCCCGTCGACCCGGTCCCGACCCCAAGATGCTGTAAGTCCACCGAGGATCCGCTTCACAAGGTCCGCTCCACTCCTCGTCTCGTACCCCGCACACCTTCCCCGCACCCCGTGACCTGCCCCTTCTCGCTCTTCGCCTCTCCCCAGACCTTCCTGGCCCCCTCGACAGCCGCCGTTTCCGCCTCCTCCCGGCCGTCTTGACCAGCACCTTCCGTCCGATATAGAAGCTTACCTGCGTCTTTGCCGTTCCGCACCTCTTCTCGAACAGAGTCCGTACGGGCGGGCGTGGTGTCCGGATCGCGGATCACCTGATCGTCTTCGACGCGTTGTTGTTTGGACGTTGGAGAACCAGGATGTGGACTGAGACGACAGTGGCGGAATCGTGGGCATGATGCGCGCCTCGTGCTTCGTTTCCTTCCGTAGACGCTGGTATGGTATGGGAACTCAGTGCGGTCGTCGAGACCGTGGATCCCTGCGCCATGGCACTATCATCGACCCTTGAAACGCGCGACGTGGCAGACGAGATAGCTGTCGGACACCAGCCGGCCCGATGTGTTGAAACAACAGATCCATTCCCTTGACGCTGTACCTTGCTTTGCGTATGCAGAAGCGGTAGTCGAGTTCGGCTTCACGGGAACATGAGCACATGAGAGGCGACGACGACGGGTGAACGAGGTGCCCCCCCTCGATGCGGTGACAAGGTCCGGTAGGCCGATCCGCCTTCAGTGCAGCGCAGCGTGTCGTGCAGCAGCTGGGCGGGCGGGATCTGCATCAGTCCTTTGAAAAATTCCATAGGACTGTTGCACCTGCTGAGCTTGTTTGCTGCCTGCTTGTTTCTGTCTCTCCTTGTTGGCGGGTGGCTGTTGCAGTCAGAGGTCATCCACCTGCATCTTTTCTCTGATGGGACAAGAGGCCTATCAGACCATGGTGTCAGCCCATCATCCACTCTGTGTGACATTCACCCTGCTGTTGCTCCTTGCCACAGCAGCCAGGTATCATCCTGTACCCAATGTGGTGATCTGATGCACTCTCACATTGAGGGCATAGCCCCTGCTGGCCTCCCAGACCATTGACACATCTTTCATCTTTCCATCATCATCATACCAGCTCAAGAGGTCACCAGAAAGCGCTTGGTGGCATGCTGGCCAGCAGTGACACTGATGAGCTTGAGGACAGCAAGGCTTCATTGACCACCAATGTCAACAGGCTGCATCCTGATAGTTGCAAGATCATGTTGGTCTGTGTGTAGAGCCCAGAAAGGGACAACCACTTTGCACACAAACCTGATGTGTTGAGGGTTTTCCTCAACCACAGGCTGCAGGAGTTGATTGACTCCTTGTTGTTGGAGAAGCACAGCATAGACTGCCAGCTGTTGGCATTGGCAACTGTAGGGCCGGAGGGGCTGGGAACGACTTCACCGACTCGGTTGCAGATGGTGAAGGCCACTCGTGCCTCTGCCATGAGCGCAACGATCGTGAGGTCCTGCATGAGCGGATAGGAACTCGTCATAATGTCGAAATGGAGGCGCTGAGCAAGAGGTGGCTGTCTTGCATTGAAGAGAGGTTGCCTCGCCTGGTCAAGACCTCCCTAATTGGAGATGAGGAAGTCGAGGTGGCCATCTGCCACGGCGTGGCCCTCCAGATACGCACGCGCTGATTCTCTGTCAAGGTCAAAGATGAAGTCCCCAGGCCACTGCCTCAGGTACTTCCACCTCCAGACCTCCAGACAGGCTTGGAGAGGGGGCAGCACATTGATGTTGAGGTTAGTGAACTGGATCATTTTGTAGTACACCTGATTGTAGGCATGAACCTGCCAGTTGTCAAGCAGTTCAAACAAGGCCAGCCTGTCAACCATTGGCAGGAAGAAGCCAACTAGGGCCTGATGTTCACAACCTTTGAGCCCCAAATCTGCTGGTGAGCAGGGTTCTGTGTTGATGCACTATTTGCCTGTGCAACAGAAGTCTGTTTTTTGGTGATGTAGGTGGTAGAGGTTTCTGTTGTGGCTGTTGCCTTGTGGTAGCCTGTGCTTGTCTTGTCTACACATCGGTGTATTGCTGTGCCAACTGGTCATGCCTTGTGGTAGCCTTGTGCTTGTTTCAGAGGGTTGCGTAATTTGATCAGAAGGTTGTGGTGAGGTGGTGTTGGCCTGGACTCTTGTTCCACTGCATCATGGGCCAAGTTGCAGCCTCTTGACCATCAGAGATTTGGACATGGCAGCTGCCTTACTCATGCTGTGCTTTGGCCATGATCCTGGCAAAGGAGACTGATGGTCCCAGGCCCCTCCAGCAACAGAGGACTCGCCTCAAGAGCTCTTCCACAAGGTCCGGTGGGGCAGCTCGAGGTTGGTCTTGTTGCCGGGGTTTGGCGTGAGCCAGTGCCGGACCAGCTCTTGACCGGTCGCCGTTTGTCGGCACCGGCCAAAAGTGGTTGGCAAGACGGGCCGGGGTCAGCAAGTAGAACTATGGATGCAGGAATGTAGTGGGCGCGAGCGGCAATAGTGCCAAGCCCGGGTGCAGGGGGAGTCCTGCCTAGACCGCCGCCACGATGGTAGGGTGGTAAAGCCCCATGTGGATCTGGGCACAACCGTATAGGTTTGTGCCCAGCCGCAAGTGATGCTTGTGGGGCGGCCCCAGGCAGAACAAACAAACTAGGTGCTTCACCAAGAAAGCACAGGTAGCCATCTCCTTTTCCCGTGCGCCAAGGAGCCGCTTGTAGTAGAGCATGAGCCCCTGGCACACGGTGTTGGACGGAATGGCAGCTGATGGTGGTGATTGATGCTGGGTGGATCAAGAGAGAGGCTGTGTTGGTAGAATCTGCACCTTCAACAGCAATGAAGGCCTGCACGCTCATCAAGAAGAGAAGACCTGCTGCTGCAAGCCTGTGATGATCAGTCCAGCCTCTGTTTGCTTCCCCACCTTGAGTGTTGCTGCTTCCTCACTGACATGAAGCAGGATGTGGCAAGAGCTGAAGGTGTGCAGCCTTGTTGTGAGCAGCAGCAAGCCTGTACAGACGAACAGGGGGCAAAGTCAACTACCTTGATGAGCATGCTGTGTGTGGCTCATGGTACCATGCTTCCCTGCACAGTCAGTCCTATGCCCCTGCTGACTGCAGGTGGACATGTGTCATTGCTGCAGGCAGATGACCAGTTTGGAAGAGCATCTGCTGCAACATGGGCTTGAGTAGCTGTTGTGATCATGACTGTGGTCTAGTCTGCCATAGCAACACGCTGCATCAGGGCATCAAAGGCTGTCACAGGCAAGGTGTGAAGTAGCAGAGTGATGGCATTTGCCTGATGAGCCTGCTGCTACCCTGGTGCAGCATGACTGCCGACTTGAATGGGCTGAGGCAGGCAGGGTGAGGCATGCGGGCCGGGTGAATCAGCAGACACGCCCGATCAGCCGCGCCGCTGCTCCACATTGCAGCGGCCTGCAGCGGCCCTCGTTTCAAAGGGCTCAGGAAAGAGGCGCTGCTGCAGCGGGCAGAGGCAGGCCACTCGATCTGGTCGTCATCACCGTCACTCGATGCGACCACGCCTACCAGCATCAGCACCACCATCACCAGCCACATTCCCCCAACCATTCACCACACGCTCGCCCCGCTACGGCCAGCACCACTCGCACCACCCACGCTCGCCCTCGGCCCCTCGCACGCCACCCAGCGCATGCAGCTCTCGAGCCTTCGCGCCGCCATCTACCCGTCTCTGCACCGCCAGTCCATCGCCTACCGCCACAGGTTCGTCAACATGGTCAAGCCCGACGACGAAGTCATCAAGGAGTTCAACGAGCTCGTCAACATGAGCGCCGACGAGCTCGAAAAGTGGCTCAAGTCCAAGGACTCGCAAGAGTCGGGATGGACCGGCGGCGGCGGCGGCGGCGGCGAGACGGTCGGTCACGACAGCGGCAACAAGATCACCGACATCCTCCGCCGCAACCCGGACAAGAAGAAGGACAAGTACACCGACGAGGATCTCAAGCACATGCGCAAGGTCGTCAGCTACAACAAGCGCCACCTCGCACAGGAGGAGCACCTCAAGGAGTCCAAGAGCGAGGAGGAGCTCAAGAAGACCAAGAGCTACAAGAGCCTGAAGAGTGAGTACGCCGCTGCGGCACACGATGCGGGTGGCGAGGAGGACGTGCAATGTGGGCAGGGAGGGCTAGGCGGATTGGCCGGGCTGGACTGGGCTGGGACAAAGGTAGGCTGGGGAAGCGATCCAGCCTCGCACGGCCAGCTTGGCGGTAGACACGGGCACATCTCGTCCTCGTGGCCGGCTACAACTCGGCGCCGGTGCTGCATCCCCCCTCGACACCACCGGCCGCCACCCGACTATCGCCCAACCATCCCCAGCACGGCCCCGTCGACCCTGGAGCGCCCCAAGATCGAATCCTGACTCCCCCGCGATCTTGCACACCACACCACACCACACCACACCTCACCTCGGCCCTCGAACGGCGACGCAACGACACTTGCCTCGACAGATGGCGAGCCATCATCACCATCCACCTCTGCCGCAGCGGGTGCAACGACCTCGGCCGCCTTCCGATCCGACGTGGCCCAGCCGACCGCTCTCCGCACGGGCAAGATTGGAGGCGGCCAGGCGGCCGCATCTTCGGCAGCGGTCGGGGCGGGCGACGCCGCGCTTGGGCCGAGCGGCCTGATGGCGTCGCAAGAGTATCTCGACAAGCTCGAAGAGGGCGTCAACAAGACCATCGACGGCGACATCGAGACGCTGCTCGAGAGCTTCAAGGAGCTCATCTCGCTGGCCACGGTGAGTACCGCGCGCGGGCGGGATGGACCCAGCCCATGCGGCCGACAGCCCTACTGACGCTCGTCCTTTCACCCTGCGAGCAGATCGGAGACAAGGACAAGGTTCAAATAGAGCAGGAGGCGTTCCAGGCCGACGCGCGGGCCGATGCGATGGTGAGTTTCGTCGGGGACCGCGGCAACTTGGGCCGTGGCAGCTTGGGCCTTGGAAGACGAAGCCGTTCTGTCAACTGACCTGGTCCCGCTGGCACTCGATCCCGGCTTTCGTTGTTGCTGCAGGTTCGTTCCGCGCAGAACCTGTCGCTGCTCTCGGAATCGCTCAAGCTGTCGCTGCTGCTGTCCAAGGCGCCGGACCCGGCCCTCAATGACGAGGCCATCGAGCTGATGAAGAGCACCGAGCTCGAAAAGGTCAAGTGCGCCCAGCTGCTGGAGCGCATCCTCGGCCTGCCCGCAGGCGGGGGCGCCACCCTGGTCGACGAGCTCGAGGACAACGACGGCATCGCTACGTCCGAGACAGCGCCGGGGTCAGGCAAGGGCGAAGGGGCGGCAGCGAGTCAAGGGACAGCCCAGCCACCAACGGCCGAGCAGGCGGCGCGCAGCCATTCTCCGCCAGCGGCCGCTGCGTCCACGGGGCAAGTCGGCAAGGACGACGACGACGGCGATGCGCTCGAGATGGAGGACGTCTCGATGGGGTAGCTTTCGCCCCGGCCCCGTCGCAATCTCTCTCACCCATCGCCGTTGGATCAAAGCCGCAAAAATAGACACGGCGGTTCACCTGCGAGCCAGCCAGGCCATGCCGGCAACGACTCGCTGGATCGAGTCGCTGCCCGTATACCCGCGACCCGCATGCGCTTCAGCACGGGCGCACCCCACACCAACCCACCAGGCGTGACAGGACGAGGACGAAGTGGGCGAGGACAGCGAGAGGCGGGAGGCGGGAGGCGGGAGGGCTGAAGCAGGAGCAGGGCTCGGCAGGAGCAGAGCGCGGGCGGTGGAATAGGGCGGATGCGGGAGCGACGCTGTCAGCGCCGGCAGCCTACTGACCGCCACCCATCTCATTCCATCTTGCTTTGCCTTTGCTGCGCTGTGCTGCGCTACGGTGCTTGCACGACAGACTGGGGCCACGACCCCCTCAAGAAGAAGTAAGACGGCACGCCGCGCGAGTCAATGGCCGGCCCGCCCGCTCGACTCGGCTCGACACCGTGTCTCTGCTCGTCTCCCCCAATGTAGCCTACCCATGCCCTTGCGGTATCCTGTCCATCACCCGCTCGCTGCTTTGCTTGCCCTTGGATCTCTCTCTGCCCTCTCTCGCCATTTGCAATGTTCATGATTGCCAGCCCAGCCAGCCAGCCCAGGCTAGCCAAAGAGGTCCTCGCCGGATTTCCGTCTGGATTTTCGAAGTCAAAACGGGAGTCGTGCAACGCGCCACTTTGCGCGACACGCCCCTCAAATCCCGTGCGGGGCGGGCGGGGCGGCCGTCGGGCCTTTTTTTGGCAGGTGCCGAGGTTGGCCGAGATTCTACACCGGCAGATGCGAGAGCGGACAAACGGCAGCGGCGTCTGAGGCTCCCTTGCCAACCGCTATCCTCTCGTTTCCACCACCATTCATCCTCGCCTTTGACCGCTCTCGCTCTGCTACACAGCCCTGTCATCCTTGCATTCTGTCAGACGACCAAGCGTTCAACCCTCCGGGTCGAAACGATCGTCGACCCACCTGGACGACGTTCCGTACACCCGATTCTTGGACGGCCTTGCGACGGTAGAGACGGTACCGGCAGCGACTACAACGACGACGACAGCGACGACGACGGCGACGACGACAGGGGAAGATGGCGGGTGGTGGAATCACCTCGCACTTCCGCTCGGGCAAGGCGTCGCTCGCCGCTCGAAAGCCCACGTCGGCCAAGGAGCAACAGGCCCTGCGCGATGGCCTCACCAAGGTGCCATCCACCGATGCGGTCGCCAAGGGCAAAGGTGCCGCCGCCGTTGCTTCTGCGACAAACACGACGACGGCGACGGCGACACCGACGACAATGACTACGACGACGACCAGACGGACTCGCTCGACTAGGACGCAGCTCAGGACGCCCCAACAGGGCGAGGTAGAGGCCATTCTCAAGGACCTCGACGATATCCAGTCCTCCTCGTCGTCCCATCCCGCCGTCCTTCCTTCCAGCATATCCACCGACACGGCGACGACGGCTCCTGCATCCGCGTCATCGGCCGCCGCTGCGTTCGCCCGCAGCATCACTCCACCACCGCTGCCCGATCCCACCTCGCCCTACCTCCTCGGCACGCCGCCGCGGACAGCGCACAGACGCTCCAACGCTGCCACTTCGCCCTCCAAGCGCAAGGCAGCAGCCGCAGCCGATGCCGCGGGTGCGCGCACTTCGGCCGCGCCGACTTCGAGCCCGACCAAGCGCAAGGCACGTGCCTCGGCCGAGGGGACAGAGGGGCCCAGCACGGAAAAGCTCATGGCGTCTCCGACCAAGGTGGCCCGCGTCGGGTCGCCGACTGCGGTGAAGGAGGCGGATAACACCGCCACCGACGCCGCCGCCGACGACGACGACGACGACGATGATGATGATGGCCTGGTGCTGACGCCAGGCCGCAACATGGGCACGCGCATCTCGCTCGCGAGTCCAAAGGCGCCGCTGTTGGCTTCGAGCTCCAGCCCGCTCGACCACCGCTCGCCCACCGCCACGCTACCGCGCAGCCTGGCGCGCAGGATCATGGAGGACGAGGACGACGAGTCCTTTCTCACTCCGCGCAGCGTCAGGGAACGGCCCAAAGGCCACATCCCGCAGCTCCTACCGATGGGTGCCCGTTCCGCCATCTTCCAGCCCGGCACCGTCGCCAGCGGCGGCAGCAGCAGCAGGTCAGGAGCCAGTACGCCCAAGTCCGCCCGCGTCGGTTCTGCCACGACAAAGGAGCAGGCCTCTGTCGCGACGCCGCTCCGCGACTCGCCGGCGTCGCTCTCCCTCAAGCTGCAGCAGGAGGCGAGCAAGCAGGCGGACCCGCCTCTGCCGGAGGTCAAGCACGTCCTCTCGTCGGAGCTGCCGCTGCCCAAGCACTATGCCAGCCTCATGACGCTGCACATGGCGCTCGAGCACGCCCTCGTCGTACACCTCGCCACGTGCGGCGCATCCATGGCCTCGCTGGAAAACGACGCATCGAGCGACGATGCGGCGTCGGACGACGACGGCGCAAGGGAAGCCAGCTTTGTCGGAGGAGAAGAGAATTCAGCAGTGATGACTTCGGGTACGCCGCGCCGTCGACAGGCACGACCCAGGACGGTACGTCTGCCCAACCTCGTCACCTACACGGCCATCCGACCGCTCGTCGAACGATCGGGCGGACGGCGGCTGGGACCGACGGAGCTGGCGCGGCTGGCGAGTGTCTGGATGGACTTCCAGGCGCCCTCGGCCGACGCGCCGTCGTCAAGCAGCGCCAGCGCCGGCGCCGGTGCTGACGAGATCAAGGGGCTCGGGTTTATCGTGTCGCGCACGCGCACCCTCGATGCCAGGACGGGCCGGCGCGTGTGGGACTGGGGCATCGGGATCGAGCTCGAGGTGCGCCGGCCTCGCCGCGCCAAGACGCCGCCTGTCCAGGTCGAGTTTGGCGGAGTCGGAGTTGGGGTCGAAGCTACCTCAGCAGCGACGGCGAGGGGCGTACCAACGCCTTCTACGCCGGGCGCCAGCGTCGCCGTGGACCGGTCGCGATTCGCCACACCACCGCCGTCGCCAGCCTCGTCGCGCCTCGACGCCACACCGACACCGGCGTCGCCCTCGAAGCGGAGACGGGAACAGAGCGGCAGCCTCCTTCCCTCTTCGCCCTCGCTCCCCTCGTCGCCTCGTTCGACGACCAAGGCGCGCGAGGGCATGTCGTTTGTCGCGCTATGGAACAACGGCATCGAGGTGCGAAAGGCCGAAGTCGGGAGGAGGCTGCGTCAGCGCTGCGGCCGGTTCCACCAGCTCTGGCTTGACGAGCAGGCTATCGTCGTTCCCGAGGCGGCGCCGCCGCAGCAACACGCGGAGGCGAAGCAGCAGGAGCGGAGCACTTCTACGAAACTCGAGCCGAGCACGCCATCGACGTCTGGACCGTGGACGCACGCGGAACAGGGCGATGCGCGGGAGAGGGGCCAGGCGATGCAGGGCCAAGGCGGACTCTGGACGCCCTCGGCCACCCGTTCTGGCGGACGGCGGGTGGGCGGGAGGACAATCACCTTTGACCAGTCCAACCTCGACCGCGATGGCCTGCTCGACAGCGACGTATCCGCCGACGAGGCCGAGGCAGACGGGTCTGCCGCGACGATGACGGGGCAAGAGTCGATCAAGACGGGGGGTCGAAAGGCGCTGATGGCCGAGCTCCAGCCTACGCCAAGGCAGCAGCGTCCTCGTCCCGCCACCACCGCCGCCAGTCCACCGACGACGACGACGACGACGGCAGAATCTGCGAAGGATGAAATCGAGCCAATGCCGGGCTGCGTCGATGGCGACGGCTGGCCTGTGCCGCATGCGGGGATGGTCCTGTACGAATGGCATCCGAGGTTCGACCGCGACTCGGCGGCCATTGTACGGCCCGTACCGCTCGTCGAGTTGCCACCTCTCCGCGACCCCGTCCTTGCAGCTCCCTCCTCGTCCTCGGCGTCGAACACGACGTCGACGCCGACGGTACCAGGGGGCCGACATGTGCGTCTCGGCGGCGGCGGCGGCGGTGGCGCGGGCAGTGTGTCGTCGAACCTCTTTGGCCTGGGCCTGGGCATCCAACATCCCTCGACACCGCAGACGAGTCGAGTGGCCAACCGACCGGGCATGACGCCATCGTCGGCGTCGTCGGCGACGCTCTCGGCGTCGGGATCGGGTCCCGGATCTGGGCTGAGCCTAAAGGACCGGATCCGGCAGAAGGAAGAGGCTAAACGCAACCTCCTCCTTGCCAAGTCGTCCAACGCGCTCCTCTCGCGCGCCACGCCGGGTACGCCCGCTTCGCACACGCCCTCGACCGCCGGCGTCGGTGGCAGTGCCGGTGCCGCGGGCACGCCGACGAGGAGCAGCATGATGGCCACCCTGTCGCGCCGATCGGTGCTGAGTCGCCTACCGGAACTCGCAGGAATCGTCTACGTCATCTTCACCTCTAGCAGCGGCAGCGGCGGTGGCGGTGGCGGTGGGGCACGCACGCCGACGCTGCCCATGTCGGACGTCGTGACGCGGCTGTGCAAGTCGGTCAAGACGACCATGAGCCGCGCCGAGTGCCGCGACGCCGTCGAGCTGCTCCGCGACGAGGTCGACGGCTTCCTCGACATCGTCGTCGTCGGCGGCAAGGAGTGGGTCAGGATGGGCAGGAGGCACGGCGGTGCGCCCTGGAGCCTGCAGGAGGTTCGGGAGCGGATCGGCGTCGCTATCTCCCGCGGCTAGACGGTGCTTCGTTTCGTCCGATCTGCATCATGCTTCTTGTACACGCACACTCACACGCACACACATGCGCGGCTGCTTTGCGACAGACGTGCACTATGAATGTATACCCTCAACTTGGCTTGGTCTGATTGCGGCGCTCGAGTGACGACAGCTTCTCCGACGGTCGACTTGCGTCGAGAGCACGAGCCTACAGGAGAGGGGATGGGATGACGAAAAGTGGGAGGGCGTCGATTCGGGACGATGGCCGGGGCGGGTCGATGGCCGGGTCTACACGCTTGACGGGCCTTGGGAGGCGTAACAAGCCGTGGCAGGGGTGAGGGCGTCGAGCCGCGTCCCCATCCAACGGCAGCAGCATCCTGGCCCGCCTTGTAAACCTGACCGCGGCTCTACAGCGTAAAGAGGCCGAGGTGATGGTAACCCTGTTCGTTGTCGACTACGGAACAGAGGGCCCGACGCGACGGGCGGGAAAGAGGCAAAAGAGGGATCGTGTCAGCTCAGGACTCCCCTCGCCTTCGGTCGATGCGCAGACGCATGCGACAATCACAGTGCACCGTGTAACTCGGCATGGCGTGCTTGCCGGGCGTCGACCAAGCCTGACAGGCGGCTTCCAGCGCGAAGGACCCATCGTTTAGACAAAGGACGTCGCGTTTGGGCTCGACGCCGCCGGAAAAGAGGCTTTTCGAGCCGTCGTAGATGTTCCACTTGTTCGGGTACTCCAGGTACGTGTTGCACGTCAGGTACCGGCTTCCATTGAGCTGGGGGTCCTGGACCAGTCGGCAGATGCAGATGCCTTCGATCTCAAAGTACCCGAGCAGCCTCAGGTTCCCGGGCGGGTCAAAGTAGGATGCCTTTGGTTTGGCTTGGCGGGCCGCGTTGGCGGCTAGGGGTGCGATGAGCAGCGAGAGGAGCAGTGAGGTGATCTTCATGGCTGGACGGATCGAAGTGCGAGGGGCCCGAGGAAGGCAGAAGACGATGGGGGATGCCAGGTGTCGACGGAGACGTCGAGGGGCGCTGATACGGTCGGAGGGACCGGAAAGAGGGCCGCGAGCCTCTTCATGGGGACACGCAACCGGGCCACCACATTGCATCAGGCTGCGGTCGACGCCGAGCGCCAGGCAGACGAAAGCGGCGCGAGCTTTCAGTCGCCCACACAGCCGCCCCACCCCCCGGAATCTGACCGTTGGCCTCTGACGCAAGCGCGTTACATCCGATGCCCACCGCGCTCCGGGCCGAGCTCTGCTTTGTCCCACCTCGGCTTCAGCTCCATGACCACCAGTGACTCTGCCAACGTCCTCGAACCTCGTGGGTGAGGCGGGTCCACCTGCGCAAGCGAAGGAGCACCAGGCCCGCTTGCCCCGGTCGATGGGCTGTATCGCGGTGACGGGTGTTCCCGCTCGGCGCAGCTCAGGGCTAATGTGCGCGTGCGGGCCGGACCTGACAGAAGAGTGGCCAGGACGAGCTCCCTGGCTTCCCGAGCAAGAGATACAGTCTATCTGTATGGGGTCGTGCCGCACCGCGCTGGGGCAGCGCTGCCTATGCCTTGGGACAAAATACCGTCCTGTGGAACCCAGCGAGGCCTGAATGAACGATCCGGCTTGCGACTGGGGCGACCTGACTTCTCGTCCGCCCGGCTCCGCACTCCCGCACGCCTCGCCATGGTCGGCCTTGTCCTTATGGACTCATGGCCGTGTTGCCATCCTCTTACCGTCTCGAAGAAGACAGTCATCGACGGCAAAAGCAGCGCAAGGCTACTACCGTGGTCGCGACAACCCCGTCCGAGGAAGCGCGACAACGCCGTCCGTGTATCGCCACACGGGCATTCCACCTGCCCGGATCCCGCGGGAGCGGTCGAGCGCCTTTTCTGCTGGTGGCATCTCGGGCCGGCACGACGCCACGGTGAAGCTGCCGTTGGGACTGTCAGCTCTGGCAACGCACGGAGCGATACCCGACCCACCGAAACGGGTGGGGGGCCCACCGTTTCCGTCATCGCGAACGCGCCATGGAGCCAGCGAAGGCTTGCAACGCTCTGAAACGCCTCGGACGCCATGACCGACCCACCATGGTGGCTCAAGATGGGTCTAGGTGGGTTGTCTACCCACACCACCCGCAGTCACGAACGCCCTCGATCAGACACTCCCTGCGTCCAAGGCCTCTGCCGCGATCGAGGACCGTTCCTGTCCATCAACGAGAGCCTGGCAGGAATACAGCTTGGCGGTGCCACCCGCCGTTGAAGGTATAAAAGGTGCTGTCGGCTCGAGCTATCCTCTCACTAATCCTCATCCACTCGCACTCCAAGCCATCAGCCTCGTACTCCTCCCAAGCAGCCTCGTATCCTCCGCTCACCATGAAGTTCTCGGCCGCCACCGTATCGCTCCTCCTCGCCATCGCCCCAATGGCGGTCAAGTGCTACCCCGATCTGGGCGTAGGCGAGACGATGCTGCGCCAGTGGAACATCGGCGATCCCGCGAGGAAGAATGCCCGCACCGCACCCTTCATTGGCACGGCCTACATCTGGTCCGACCTGAGTGGGGTGGACTTGATCTTCTCCTTTGAGTCGGCCGACAATCACGACTGGCAGCTGTTCAAGTTCGACAAGGCCTCCAACCAGTGGGGCTCGCTCTGGCATGCGTGCCCCTCGGGCAGTCACCTTGACGAGAGCGTCAAGCGGGGCTACAACGACCTCCACGTGGCATTCAACGAGCTGGTCGGACGCCCGACGGGCACGAACGAGAAGTACTGGTTCGGCAAGTACAAGATTGTCGGTGAGTGCCGTCTCTGGGCGAGGCAGACGAGTAGTGGGTGCCTGGGAACGCACAGGTGCCGTGGGCGCTAACGCCGCGACCTGTTCCGTCGATGTCTCTACATTGCCTGGACCTTCTCTTTGCCCCCTGATGCTGCTTACACGCCGCAGTCGATGGCCGAGAGCACCCCATGTAGGCCGTCTGGCACTACCTTGGTCGTAGGGCAAGGTCGACAGCTCTTCCGTGCCAACGGTGGCGAAGGCGCAACGCGTCAAGCCGATCCGACTCGGAGAGTCGTCCTACATACCATGTATCATCCAGAGAGCTGTCCACATACATGTCCACTAGACGCTGTGTCAACGTGTCAATCACGAGCCTGTCGCGCACTCCGACCCGAGCGTGGCGGACGCCAGTTTGTCGTCGCGGCAGATTTTACACCCTGCCTTGCACCAAGGCCCCTCTCTCCTCCTCTCCCCAATCTCCCCTCTGGCTGCCGCCATCTTCCACACGTCGGCAGCTGCTCTTTTCCCAACGCTCCTCCCCTTTGTGGCTGCACTTTGCCGCCTCACTGGCTTTCTGTTCTCGCGCGCATTTCGCTCGCGCTAGCTCGCTATCACGCGGCGCTCGACCGGCCGGCCCTTACGGCCCAGCCTAGAAGCTCGCAGCGACTCCGCTCGAAGTCTGGCAACCCTCTTCTTCCCTCCCGTTTCTCTCTCTTCACTCTCTAATACCATGATCATTCCCCTCCTGCTCCTTGCTCCCCCTCTCCGGCAGCGCTGGCGAGTTGGTGTTGTTGTGCGAGAATTTGTTGCGCGCAGCCATGAATGCAGAGATCCATGGCGAGAGAGTGGCAGTCGCCAGTGGGCGAGGTTTGAGGCAGTCAGACGCCTGAAGCAAGACTCTTCTCCGTCTTCAAGGCATCGAAAGCCGTGACGAGGTTGGGTTGAAGGCAAGAAGAGGTAGGGTGGGGCGTCGATGGAAGCTGTCCCGAGTCTGGCCTTCGCAGCGGCCATGTCCGCTCTTTGGCCCCTCGTACTTCCCACATCCGCCCCACACCCGCCCCACCGGGCACCGATCCCTCATACACATATGTATACATACATACATGTCCATGGATGGCCCCACCACGGAATAAGGCCCGGTACAAGCGGTGCAAGCCGCGCAAGTGAAAGGACTATCAGTGCAAGCCCACCACCCGCGCCCGGGGCTACCCCTGCATCTGCAGCCTCGAACGGCGAAAAGAAATATCGGCCTCGCCGTCATGAGACGTCGGGCTCGCCGATGACAGGGGACCGCCCCTGCCTTGCTGGCGACGCCCCAGGGCCGTCAGATATGAATGTGCGGACGAGGTCGACAGCGGTGCAACACCCTGCCTTTTTGTGGGGGGGCACAAAAGGTTTAAATGCGGTCAACGCGCGCAGGCCCTCTCCTGAAACTCGTCCTCAACCTCCCACCTTCCCGTGCCACGTCTCAGTTGCGTGCCATTCACCAGCCACCTTAGTTCCTGCCCCGCACCATGAAGCTTTCTCTTACCTTGCTGCCCATTGTGCTCGTGGCGCTAGCCACGTTCGCAGATGTCAGCGTCGCTTGGCTGATGGCAAGCCACGAGCTCTACGGATCACTGCAGATCGGGACCCCTGGATCGCGTTACAGCGGCGTCCTCCACCTGGCCATCCCCAAGCCCGACTTCTCCTTCGACGACCAGTACCTGTGGTTCGACCCCGCTGTCCGTGGAGCTTCGTGGGACATTGCCAAGACCAACGGTCGTCAGTTCCATTCGACCTTCTACGCAGACGACAACACCTTTGCGCCGGCGAGCTCAAACATGGGCTGCCATGCCGGGCAGAGTAGCCTGGCCGATGTCTGTAACAAGCTCACTACCCCGGGCAATGCGATCATCGACGGATACGTCGTGAGGAGTGAGTGCACGACGATGACCGACGGACAGCGCGCAGGAAAGTCACACGAGCGCGCGTTCGAGAGCTGACACGTTCCTCTTCTCCCAACTGCACCTGGGCGGACCACAGTCTTCCTCGACGGCCACGCCAACGAGTTCCCCATCAAGCCGCTGGTCCAGGGCCGACGCCGATAGGCATCCGCTTCGTGTTTGCGGGCGGCCGTAAGCCCATCAGGCTGCGCTGTATCCTTGGCGTACGGCCCGAAGGTGCTGCTGCTGCCCCGAGACGCCTCGATTGCGAACGTGTGTCGACATCGCCCTTGACGGCTACCCTGTTACGGCCCCACATCGGATCCTCTGCCTCCTTGTGCTCCTCTTCCCTAGAGAGTCTCTGTACGACATGATCCGCTGCCGGTAGCGCCTACGCTCGATCAGTGAGCTCAGAGGAAAATATGTGAGCTGGAGGCGGCCACCTTTCTGGCGGCTTCTTCGCCCCTCGTCTTCCTTCACTTCCTTGTCTCTTCCCCGGGACGCCTGCTGCAGGCCGGTCCCACTTGATGCACCCAGCCGCCACTCACTCCCGTTTGCTCTTCGACGCGTCCCAGACGTCCCGTCTGCGGCAGGTCCGGAGTCTCTCGCGCCCAGACGGCTTATCTTGCCCTTATCCGCACTCTCACTTGTCCGTTGACATGTACATCCTTGCATGCTCCTCAAGTGACTGACAAAGGTCTGGACCTGGCCATACATGGCACCACACCCACACTGTTGTCTCTACGCTTGCTGACTGACTTTTGATTCAAGTCGAGCGTTTTGGGCGCAGGGGATAGCACAGCCACGACTAAGTTGAGCAGAACTGCCGATGTGAAGGGCAGGACGAAGTGGGTCCGAGCTGCTTTGCATGTATGTAAGCACGTAAAGCCCACCTGTTGCCGCCTCTGTGCTCATCGTATCGCGCCCACCCAACGCCACCGGCTCGCCATCCTGCCTGCTCTTTTTTTGCGTTAAGTCGCTACCTGATTCACCTCGAACAGAAGCGGGCCGGCGTTCAAAGAGAGGAGCCTAGGTCAACTGTACCCCCACCCCGCGCTCGAAAAGGCTGAACCATACGTTATGTACTTATAGTCTCGCCGGCAACCGATTCAAGTCCGAGTAGAGGTGGGTCGCATGAGGCTCCAGGTCGCTCGAGCTTGAAGGGGGTCGACATCCGGCCTTGCTTCGCTGAGCTACACAGTGACCCCTGAGGCCTATCCCCCTCTTTAGCCTTGCCTCAAGCCGCTGCGCCGATACATGCTCTGAGATCCGTCCTGCATCCCAAGGAGTCCGAGAGGTTCTTGATACAAAGCGGCACTAGATCGACCTCTTCCAGCCTCATCGCCACACAACCCCTCCCGCAGCCCTCGTTCCACTTCCGCACCCTCATAGTGACACCACCCTCCCCGCGACGAAGCTTGAATCAGCTCTAGCGATTCTCTGCAACCGCCTTGCATCATGAAGTGCTTTTCGATCGTCAACCACCTGACCCTGCTGGCAAGCCTCGCCACTCTCTTCTACGCCGACCGAATACAGTGCGACAAGGTCATGGGGTTCCAAATCATAGTCCCGTATGGCAAGCTTGAAATCTGGGAAGGCCCCTTTGCGGATTATTTGACCTTCGAGGGCACTGACGGAGCCAGCAAGTGGGACATCCAGAAGTACGGTGGCGCGGGCAACATTGTCTCGCTCACGGGTGTCACCAACGTGGGAGATCGGCAGTACTGCCGGAACACCGTTCGAAACCTGTTCGAAGCCTGCAAAGAGATGCTGCTCGGCGAAAGCGGTGCCACCGAACCGTTCCATGTCGGCAAATACTGGCTGGTTGGTGAGTTGGATGGTCGACCACGGGGGCGGGATTGGTCGGCGTCGGGCGATTGCTGACCAGGCTCTGATTCCTCCCATCTCATTGGAACGCGAGGCGATGCAGTCTATACCAGCTCAGGAGCCTCGGCTACCGCTCTCCTCGGTCGATTCCAGCGGGTCTGATCGCTTTCGGTCGCCGCAAGAAGGGCACGAATCAGCTGTCCCTCGGCGGTTAGCCCCTGAGCAGCGCTGCGTTCCTGACGTGGCGCCTGCGAGGTTTCAGCGCTCAGCTGTCCCAACTCGTCGCCTTTCTGATGCGGAATGGCGCGCATCTCCTTTGATGCCTTTCTCCGGCTGCGATGCGCGCCGTGGGGTCGACCGCGACGGTCTCGACAGCAGAGCACAGCTCGATGTCGCTTTGTGGCTGCCGTCGTGGAGAGCACCGCATAGTTCAGGGCCTTTCGTTACTGCTCCCGAATCGAAGGGCTCTTTCGTTTTGCTGGCGCTCTGCCACCGGCGTCTGCTTTCCGTCACGGTTCTCTCACACGACGTGTGAATGGCCTCTCGAGCGACACGAGAGGCTGAGGAGGGTAGAGTGTCAGAGCGACCGGCTGTGCCAGATCCGGTCTCGCGTTGTCGCAGAAGCGCCACTCCCGAGCCCGCTCGAAGATCTTTGCCCGCCAGGTTTGTGCCTGCTTCACTCCCCCGCCCCCTTCGGCGTGAAACGATCCGTTGGCTGCGCTATGCCCATCAAGGACTGAGGGTCGCGTCGGAACTCGTTCGGTGTCGCCAGGGGGTAGGCGACCTTCTGACTCACCGCTCGCGCAAGAGCTTGCCCTTCTTCAGAATCCCGCCCGCTGTGCGCTTTCCGTCGGCAAGCGGGAGCAGAAGCCGACGAAGTGATGGAAAAGTTACCTACATATGAATGAGCCAGGAGTGTATCAACGAAAGGGGAAGCATCGCGCAGACTAACCAGCTCGCAAACTCGTGACGCTGCGAAGAATGCCGACCTACGGAGGTACGCCCCGTTCGCGATCAATGTCATGTCAGCCCAGCTTCGGGGTTCCGGATCCCGTCCCGAGTCGACTTGGCTCTAACCCACCGAGTTTCGGCACCATCGAACAGAGATGACCGCCTGCCCACCTCTTGGCGTGATGCTGCACAATTCTTCGGCCAAGCTCAAGGTGGGGTTGCCCTCCATTGGCGCGATTGCTACCCTGACCCTGTGGTTGTTGCGCTTACCTTCGCCCGTCGACCGCACCTCACGATGCCCATCAGCCCTTTCCGAACCGTTCCAAGACCGGCCGCGCGCTGGTGTCAGATGAGATGGGTCAGGGCTCCCCACGACATTGTACATATGGCGAGCGGAGCATGGCCCATTCAAACCGCTTCAGCAAGGGCGCATCGGTCACCATAGGGGCTAAAAGGTGGGTTAATAATGATTTCGAAGAGGGAAGCCGCTCTCCGTTGCGCAGACCCACCGAAACTTGCCTGCCGGCCGCAGCCCGGACGCTAAGAACAACGCCCCCGCCCACCTTTCCCCTGTTGTGCGTCTTTTTGATGTCATGCCAGCGCCACTTCGGATACTGTAGTAGCGGTGGGCCTTGCTGCGGTTGTCATGAGACCGGCTCGATCTTGTTCTCTATCGCTGACGGAAGGCTCTGGATCTTTTCTCCCGCAACGAGGTGGGGTCGAGGGCGCCTTGGCTGGATGGCGCTGCGTCGCTGCTGCTGAGCGCTGTGCGTTGCCAGCAGTCTGTTAAAAGGCAGGCCGCGACCGTCGTCTTGCCGGCCCCGACACCCCCATCTCTCGCTCTCTTCTCCACCATTCGCCACCGACCCAAAGCTACTCGAGCCCACAAAGCCTGCGCAGTCCAACATGAAGCCCTTCAGCGTCCTTCTGCCCGTCGTGCTGCTCGCCGCAGTGGCCGGAGCCGCGCCTGCCAAGAACGGCTTCCCTCCTCTCCCAAAGGGTCAGACGCTGTGGGGCTACCAGAGCTTCCAGCAGTACGGCACGCTCCGCCTGGCGACCGAGGACCAGAACGGCGAGGGCATCCTCACCTTCCTGGCCAGCGACAGCTCCTACACGTGGGACATTCAGACGCGCAGTGGCAAATTTGGCTTCGCTTCGGTGCTCAACGACCCGCCCTTCAAGTCCGGGGCCAGCGTCTTCTGTGGCCAGCAGACACGCGCCCTCGAGACGGTCTGCGAGCGCCTCGTCGGTCCGCCCCAGTCCGGGTCCACCTCCGGAGCCTTCACCGACATTTTCCTCGTCGGTGAGTCGCGCAGTCGTCTTCTCTTTGGCGCTGCACCAGCTGACCTCGTCACGCGCATCCTGACCTGGCCCCCGCGACCTCCTCGTACACGCGAGCTCAGTCAATACGCCGAAGGTGGTCGCCACCCTGCCGATGGGGCCGTTTGGCAAGAGGCAGGCGTGAATGCCACAGCTACGCCCTCATGCCGAGCCTTAGAGAACTGAACCGCTCATCCGCCCCCACCAGCCACCGTTCTCAAAGAGGGAAGCCTTCTCGAGCGCGAGTGGGTTGTATTCGTCTGCGTCTGCGTACGCCTTGGCCGCGAGGGTTCGTGAGCCTTTGCCCTGGCTGGTCGCATCCTTCTGTACCTTTTTTGGTCGAGTCGTACGAGTGTGCCGCGATGAATCGACGCAGACCTCTTCATCGTCCAGCCAAGCCTCCCTGCCCGTGCCTGCTGGGCTGCAGTCAGCGAATGGGAAGCCTTCCCGTTGGCATGCTCACCGCAGCCACAGATGCCTACGATCCTGAAGCCTCGTCGATGCGATAAGGTGCGAATGGGCGGATGTTGGATAGATATGCATAAGCTATCCCCGCCAACCGGAGTGGCTCTCCGAGGAGAGCATTCCGTGGATTCGACGCTCGACGGGCCCCCACCAAAGCTAGGTGGGTCAGAATCGCCTGTACGACGCACATCGTCGAATCCGGGCCGCGGCCCTCTGAGCAGACCGGGGTGCCTCGCTGCTTCGAGGTGGGTTACCTCTGCCGCCAGCTAAAGGCACATGCCCAGGGTATAAAGCCGTGGCCCCCGCACAATCTGCCGCCCTTTGCCACTCAGACCCCATCGCATCGATATCTCCTCCCTCCTTTGAACCTCAAGCAAGATGAAGTACGCCGCAGCCATCCTTTCCCTCCTCGTCGCCGCTCCGCTCGCGGTCCGATCGGGCTTTCCCATTGAAAAGGGCGAACGGATCCTCAAGCACATGTTCATCGGCGGCGCCGGCGACGTCTACATCTGGCAGACCTTGTTGGGATATCACGCCTTCACCGTCATGACGCTGAAGGACGGGGACATGTGGTCGATCCAGAAGTTCGACAAGGCTGCCGGCCACGCGTCGCCGCTGGACAGGCCGGTCGCATCTGGCTTCCCCCTGGCCGATCTCAACCGGGCGGAGCTTGCCACAGCCTACAACGAGATCGTGGCCGGAAGCTCGGACCCCAACTACTGGTTCGGAAAGTACTCGATCTTGGGTGAGAGGCGCTCCTGTTGGCGGGCTGATGACAAGCTGCTCGTGCAGACAAGGCACTGACCGACCCCTCCCTCCCTCCCTCGTCCTCTCTGACCAACGGAAACGAAGTCGACGGCGTCCACCACCCCATGTAGAGCGAGCGCCCCATGACGCTCTGCGTCTTGGTGTATTTCAGTGACTGCCGCGCTTGACCCATCAGCACCATTTGATATCGACTCTCCTCCCACCTTGTTGGTAACTGGACAGCGAGGAGTGTCGAACCTGAGGTCGATTGTGATTGCGCCGCAAGCTGGTGGACCGATTAAGGTCACGTTCTGGTCTCAGGCCGTGTCGAATCGACGTGCTATTTGGCGCTGCCGGTCAAGCAGCAAAGCCCTGTGCGACGCTCACTCTGCCGAACACAAACCACTGTTGGTCGATGCGTCATCGCGCCCAGACGGGCCGCATCACCGCAAAGGCATCTGCGGCAAGGCGGCCCCTCGAGGCTTCGTCTGCAACGTGTGTGACCACCGAGAGGGAAGGGTAGCGCATCTGGCCTGCGCGTAAAGAGGACCGCATCGGAACGCCTCGAAAGCTGCCGTCAATAACACCCACGGAGCCACCTGGAGCCTCGAAGCGCGCAGCCCGGCCACGTTTGCTCGAGGAGGGGCAGCACACGGTGGTCGAGCTGGAGTCGGTCCAAGCGGTAGCAGGTGGGTGAAGTTCGCCTCATTCCCCACCAACGGGTTTGATTCACGCGGTACGCAGGCTACCACCAGGTGGGGGGCTACAATGCGACCGCGCCTGGCGTCTACCTTCGATCGCGGAGCCACCGACCGGACGAGCCGGCCGTTTGTCCAACCACCGAGCGTATAAAAAGGCACCTTGACCTGACGGCAGACCCACCCCCGTTCAACTCGGCCCTCTTCACTGCCACCTGCCTCACGATGAAGTTCACCACCGCCATCCTTTCTCTCGCCCTCGCAGCACCCGCAGCGGTCTGGTGCGCGCCTCCGATCCCCGCAGGCGGAGAGGTTGGAGCGTACTTCAAGCTCGGCGGAGCCGGCTGGGCCTGGCTCTGGACGACCAAATCCGAAGAACCTCTCTGGCACCTCAAGGTCCTGACGAGCCATGACGCCCAGTGGAGCCTCGAGCAGCTCAAGCCGGCCTCGCAGCAGTGGGTCCGCGTCGGCGGCCCCTATGCTTCTGGCACTGACCTCGGTCCTGCCCAGCACGACGAGATCGAGAATGCCATCCTCGACATCGCTGGACGTATTTCTACCTACTCGATCAACAGTGAGTGTCGTCCCAGGTCGACCGCTCCAGTCCGGCAAGAGATCCGGAGAGCATGTGCAACGGTACTGATCTGGCCGGGCTTCGTCCGCGCATTCGTCTTTATGGTGCTCCTCCGCCGATCGATTCTCAGTCAACGGCAAACACCATCTCCTCGATCACGCCATGCTCTGAAGGCGACGCATCCGCACGCCTCTCTCTTCCATACATGATTGCTTCGTTGCCCCGTCTTGCCGTACGCATGGCATGTCATCGTACGGCCCGGGAGGCCCGAGGCAGCTTTCCCGAGCTAGTCCCCGCCCATCGATGCATCGATGCTATCCTCAGCTTTCTCTTGACTCGTGTGTTGGAGTGAGCACATCGAGCCGCCCCTGAGCCGACTGGCAACCTGCCACGAGGCGCGTGGCTATGAGCATGACCGATTTGGCCGCCAGCGGGGTGGAAACTTACCCTCCCACCGCGGCCATCCCGTCATCAAGTGGGGGTGTGCCCCACAAGCTGGTTGTTCAGGAACCCCGCCGTCGGTGGCGTGGTGGGGTCGCTCTCGGCGCTCTGTTCCGAGATGGTCAGGGTGGGTCCTCTGCTGAAGGTACAAATACCGGCCTCCCCGAGGCATCTTCGTCAAGCTTCATCCACTGGCAGGCCTCATCCCCCTCGAGCCCGTCCCCTCTTCGGCCTCCGCCCCGCAAGACTTCCAGTTCCCCCTCCCTTCCTGGCCACTTGCATCGTGCCTTTCCGCAAGATGAGGTTCACCTCTGCGATCCTCTCCCTCATCCTCGCCGCCCCTCTGGCGGTCTCAGCGTACAGCCCGGTGCCCCCTGACGAGCCGCTTCTGCTCAACTGGCAGCTGCACAAGGTCGGCTTCGCCTGGGTGTGGATCAACACGCTCGGCTACGCCATCAGCGTGCAGACGACGCACAATTCGATGTGGACGCTCGAGCGGTACGACGACGCCTCGCAGCAGTGGAACCAGGTGTTCATGCCTGTCGACTCTGGCACCATCATTGGCGGGCAGACCCAGCAGCTCCAGTCCAACATGGTCGACATGGTGAATGGAAAGGCCAAGTTCTCAATTCAGGGTGAGTGCCATTGCGCCGAGACTTGTGGTGGTGGACCAGCCCGGCGAGGGCCGACGGGCAGCATGGAGCGCTGACATGCCTCGGTGTTCTTTGTCTTGGATCACACTTCGGCGCGGCAGTCAACGGCAAGCACCACGTCGTCCCCCCCATCCCTCAACCGTCTTCGTGAACACTTCGGCGGCTGTCTGCTTGGCCAGCAAGGCGGAGGAGACGAGTACCGTTCTTTCCAGCCGCATCTCGATGGCGATCCTCGAGCGCCTTGTATCACAGCGGCGTCCCTGCTGTTCGGGCATCCGAACGACATTTGATCTGTGCTTCCGTCCTGCCCGAATCGTGCGATGCGTGCCGCGGACGATGTCGCGAGGAGGGCGGGGTCGGGCCTGCGCGTCTGCTGCGCACACACACGACATGAATCCTGCCCAACGTGCTGGGCCCGCCGACTCGTGGCTACAGGCCGCGGCCGCATGTCTCGTCGGCTCACTCTGTCGACTGCGCCGCCCCTATTCGCGCCAGCCTCGTACCAAAAGGCTCGCGAGTCTCAGCGGCTGCTCTCATGATCCTCGATGCTGTACTGACGTGATCTGCGACCGTGTTGAGCAGGAGTGAGGACCGGGTTGAGGGTGCTTGCCATCGGCGCTGCGGCGAGCGTGCCGGGATGGTCGGGCTGGCGGCCCTCGGGAGTCGGAGGGCCGTCTGGTGCCAGGCCGAGGTGGAGAAGGTCGACTCGAAGGGAAAAAATGGCGCGCCGAAAAGGGCGGCGAAATTGCCTTTGCTCGCATTCCGCCTATCCCTCATCATCTTTCCATCACCACCACCACCACCACCACCACTGCTCCCGTTGCGGCGATCACGCCAAAGTCATCCCTCTCTCTAGGTGTCTCTTTGTATCGGATCTGCATCTATCGCACCCGCCATGCCCGACCTCGATCTGGGAGCGCTCCAGGCGCAGCTGGAGCTCAACCGCTCCGTGCTCGCCGACAGCATCATGTCCAAGTTTTCGTCCCTTGGCGCCTCGTCGTCGTCGTCGTCATCGCCGTCCAAGAACGGCGCCAGCGCAACTGCCCAGCCGCCTCGCTCCGCCACGCTCGGCGTAGGCGCGACCCCGAAAGGCAAGCAGGCGACATTGGCTGCCAACGGCAAGCCCTCGTCCATTGAGGACGTCAAGCTAAAGGGTCGTCTGCTGGCCAAGCGCAAGCGGCATGATGAGCCGGCACAGGGCGACGAGGAATCGGAGGGGGACGAGGAGGAGGGCAGGGCCGCACTCGTAGGCTCCTCGTCCAAGCGCAAGAGCGGCAAGGCGGCTGCAGCGGCGACCGGATCCAACTCGGCAGCCGACGGCTCAAACGCACCATCATCCAGCAAGAGCAGCAACAAGAAGAACAGCAAGGACCCCTTTGCCGTCAAGGGCGCAGCTTTCCAGAAGCAACAGCAGCAGCAGCAGGCAGCCAGTAAGATTATCGTCGATGGCAAAGAGGTGGACCTGAGCTCGCTGAGCAAGGCGCAGCGCAAAAAGCTCAACAAGAGGCGCAGGCTCGAGGAAGAGGCGGCCAAAAGGGCAGCGCAACACGAGGACGGCGAAGAGACCAAAGCCGCGGCGGGTGCGTCTCTCTCGCCACGTAAGGGGAGCGATGTTGTGCCTGCCGCCGCTGCTACGGCCGCTGCAGACGATCCACCACACCACCGACATCGAGCAAGGCCGCCGCCGCCCCTGCCGCCGCCGCCGCCGCCTCGCAGCCAGCGAGCAGCACGCTCACGCCGCTGCAGTCGCAGATGCTCAACCGTCTGACGGGCTCGCGCTTCCGCACCATCAACGAGCAGCTCTACACGACCGACTCGGCGTCGGCGCTGAGCTCCTTTACCGCCGACCCGTCCATCTTTGACGACTACCACAAGGGCTTCCGGTCTCAGGTCAAGTCGTGGCCCAAGAATCCGCTCGACATCCTGTGCTCGTCGCTGCTGGCGGCCAAGAAGCCCAAGGCCGGGACGAAGCCGGCCAAGTCGCAGCACACGGGCCAGGTCAAGGCGCGGTACGGCGCGTGTCCGCTCGTGATTGACCTGGGAGCGGGCGAGGGGATGCTGGCACGCAAGCTGGTCAAGGATGGCCACTTCAAGGTGCTGTCGTTTGACCTGGTCAATACGGCCGACGGGTGGGTGCGCAAGGCCGACACTGCGACGATCGGCGCGCTGCCGCTGCCGGGCTTCTACGATGCGTCGGACCCGCTATCGCTGCGCGGTGCGGCGCCGCCGGGATCGGCGCAGGGCCAGGCCGACATCGCCATCTTCTGCCTGTCGCTGATGGGCACCAACTGGCTGAGCATGATCCTCGAGGCCAGCCGGTGCCTGCGAGTTGGGGCCGAACTGCTGGTGGCCGAGGTGAGCAGCCGGTTTGTGTCGGTCGAGGGTTTTGTGTCGCTGGTGGAAAAGGTGGGCTTCAAGCTCGAGGGGCGCGACGACACCAACACCCACTTTGTCGTGTTTGAGTTTGTCAAGCTCGACCCGGCGTCGTCGGCGCGGCGGCGCGAGGCGGGCGACGACCACCTGACAGAGAGCCGGCTGGTCGAGCTCGGATCGAGCCTGCTCAAGCCGTGCCTGTACAAGCGCAGGTAAGGGCCCGCCGACGCCAGGTCCTCCTTCGTAGCTAGGCGGCAGATGTAGTCTGCGGCAATGTAGCAGCGGGAGGATGGTATCGCCATGGTCTGATCTGCAGCTTTGCCACGCAAACCAGGGGACTCTGGTCTTCCATCGGGTGGCCATCCGATGGCGGTGTGTGAGCGTGAGAGAGAGGCGCGAAGAGAGGGAGAGAGGTTGGGGCTCGGCTTCGGACCTCTGCCGCCCCAGGCCTCAGGTCTCAACCTCGGACTTCGGCACTCGGGGGACCCCCCTGCACGGCCTGGCTGGCCTGCGTGTCAGGGTCCGCCTGAATTTTCACAGGGCAACGCTGGGCCCGCCCCGCCGTAGCGGGTGCATCTCCGCTTCCCCGCCTCGCCTGGCCTGGCCTGGCCTCGCCCCGCCTGGCCTCGCTCCTGTCTGGGGAACGAGGGGCTTGGGAACACGGCGAGGATCCGAGACCTGATCCCACTACCGTACCGTGCCCTTCTGGCCTTGGGGTAGGCTCGCTTGTTGGAGGGGTTGGGTTGGGGCCCGAGCCCACCGCCATGCGCATGGTACGGTGCTGTTTCACGCCCTGGGCCAGTGAGGGTAGAGGCAGAGGCAGGCGGGCAAGCGCTGTCCTGCGCAGCGGAATGCATGCTCGCGTCCAAGAAGTCGCGCTTGCGGCTCTCGTTCGAGGTGGAGGCAGCCGGCGAGCGGGAGCGGGCAGGTAGACGTACGGGAGGGGTCCGAGGTGCAGCCTTGGCCTGCTGCTCTCCTGTCGGTGGTTACAAAAGGGGATGCCGAGGTCCAGGGGGGCAGCGCCCTCACCCTTCCTCGTTCTACAGACCCCTCGCAACCTCGCTCGCCATACCGACCATCCCTCCTCCACTCCCTCTCCACGCCACACCGCGCCACGCCACGTCAGCCGACAACAACAACAGACGACATCACGATGCCGCCCTCGGTCTTTGACACGCACTGCGACGGGCCCGGCCTGCTGCCCACGACGGTGCCGTGGTCGCGTCTCTACTCGACCTACCGGCGTTTCTGCTGCGACGTGCACAGCGACATCCCCATCCCCACTCCCTCCTCTGCGCCGGGGCACGACCTGCGCGGCAAGACGGTCATCATCTCCGGTTCCAACAGCGGCATCGGCAAGGAGGCCGCGCTCCACTTCCTCGAGTGCGGCGCCACCGTCATCCTCGCCTGCCGCCTCACGGCTACGCACGAACAGCACCCGGAAGAGACGCGCAGCGAGCTCCTAACCCGCACGGGCGCCGACGCGGACAGGGTAGAGGTGTGGGAGGTCGACTGCTCCAGCCTCGCTAGCGTGCGCGCCTTTGGACAGCGGTGGCACGACTCCGGCCGCACCTGCGACATCCTCGTCAACAACGCCGGCCTCAGCCCCGGAAAGAGGATCATCACCGACGAAGGCTTCGAACTCACCCAGGCCGTCAACTTCCTCTCGCACACCCTCATCACCTTTTACGTCCTCCCCAGGTGAGCA